AACATTAACACCAGAGTCAAGTTGTTCTTCCTCATTCATCCAACAAACATTTACTGAGTACCTAGTACTTCCCAATTGACATGCTAGGTTCAGGGTACCCACTGGTGAATAAGCAGCCACGCTGTCTTCCTTGTGGAGCTTTAAAGTCTATTGAGGGAGGCAGAAAATAAGCTGGGAGCAAACATATAAGTAAGAAAGAATAAGCAAAGAAAGAATAATAGGGAGAATGTACTTAGAGAGGGTGGTGAGATTTAAGCTGAGTCCTGAAAAATAAGAAGTCGGGTGTTCTTTGCAAGTGAGAATAGAGACAGGGCACCTGGCAGAAGGGAGAGCATGTGATGTGATTTGATGTAAGATTGAAAAACTTGGTCTGGCTGCATGTGTGAGTGCATATGGGAGGAGGACAGGAATTGAAGTGTGGAGACCACCAGGGGGCTGTGGAAGCAGTCCAGAGGGAACTGATGGGTGAGAACGGTGGCAGTGAAAATCAAGGGCAGTGATGATGTTGGACTGGACTTAAAGGATGAGGGACAGGGAGGGGCCAAGGATGGATCATTCCCAGGTTTCAGTCTTGAAAGTTGCAGATGAAACCTTCCCAACCAATTGAAAGCCTCTACTTACCTCTTTCCAGCCTCGTGCAAGGCACCCAAAAAGAGATCAAGATATGTCTGTTCCTTTTCCATTTTCTTTGAAGACTTAGCAGCGCATTCCATATAACACTTGTTTGGCAGTAACTCACATGCTATCATGTGACATATCTTCCACTGTTTTTTAAATTAAAGGTACTGGAATGTATCGCCAAACACTAAAAGTATACAATTTGCCATTCTAGGAAACAGCCCACATAGCTTCTTGAGGACAGTAGTTTCTTTCTGTGATAGTTAGATCACAATGGCAAAAAGAAAGCACCAACTAGAATTCCTCTTTACAATTTTAATTTTATCTAATATTCTATTCCTGATTAGTTATGTGCTCATAGTCTAGGGTAATATTAATGTTGGGTGCGTTTCCAAAGGTTCAGGGCAGATGTCAGGTACGACCCTTACTCGTGATTGTGGACATGAGGGTAAATGACAGGTTTGCATTGGTGGGAAATGCTGAGGCTAAGCTGGGGTTGGATATCTAGAGTGAATGGCTAAATTGGCAGGAGAACCCTGAGCGGATCAAATGCTTTCAGTCAGGCTCATTTGCACAGCCAGTGAGAGAAACGAAAGAATCTGAGCTTGCTTATTGAATGTTGAGGGGCAAGGAAGGGATAGGTAAGCTGCTAAAGGAGGAAGCTGAGTGAAGCTTGTTCTCTAAAAATCTGTGGTTTAGATCACTTAGCTGAAGATCTCAGGTCAGACTGTACACTCACGGGTTTCTGAACCAATAATGGAGGTCTGAGAGCCCAAAGATGATAGGTGGACTTGTAAATGGCTCAGCTAGGGTGTGTTCTGAGTTAGGTACCACAGAGATGAGTCTTGGCTCTGGAGATGTTTGAGCAGAAAGGTTCAGAAGAACCACCTATAACGTGGTGAGGGGGTTGAGATGAGACCCTTAGCTGGAGAGGTGTAAGAGAGTCACTCATCAACATTCAGGGGGAAAATCTTTTATTAAGAAAAAGACAGTCTTTATATAAATGCTTCTATTATACAATTGTCCAAAAAGTTGTGAAATTAACTTAGTAGTTAAACATTCTGCTGTACCTAAAATAGCAAAACAACAAACACAGGTTGTTCAGTTTTTCCACGTCGGAAAAAAAGAAACGCTGCATCAGTTCAACCCATAATTTCAGCCTGTGCTCACGGGTTGTGTCTGCGCCGAAGGAGTGATCTGAATGATAGGCTTTGCTGCTGGTCATTTCAGTCATTTAGAAAGCGCTCCAGCCTGGCCCCTACTGTGAGGACAGACAGTGTCTAAACCACTGCAGCTGAACCAACGGACTAAAAAATTTTGTGAACCCAATTAGCTGTGGCATGGCTCTTTGAGTAAGCCACACAGTTGGGACATAGTGTCGGCTCTGCCACTCATCCAGCAGTGGCAAATGCTTAACCATTGACAGTGACTGCACTGTGCTGCCCTTATTCAGGTCACCCACAGGACAGGCACACACTCCTTCACTTTTCAAATACTAAAGTGAAAATAAATATAGCCAGACGAAAGGTACCAATCGAGAATGTGGAATGGGGAATGAACAAGGAATCATTGCCTCCAGATGACAGCCTGGAAAAACAAAATTTTGGATCTAGGTGCTTTCAGTTTTCAATGATACGGGTTAATCCTGCTCCCCTTCTCCCAGAAATACACTGCTTTATTCAGTTCTGTGCAGCCTACAGGTCCAAACTTGTCCCTAGTGACATGCACACTGGCTATTTCCCTTCCCATTTTGGACAGAAGACAAAGTGTTCAGGAAGACCCTACCGAGTTAGGAGTTTTATAACAATAACACTCAATTACAATAGTAAAATTATTTTTTTTACCAATTTATTTGTGGAGTTCCTTTCCTTATTGTGTTGATACAATTTCTTTCTTTTCCCTTTTTTTTTTTTTTTTTTTTTTTTTTTTTTTTTTTTTTTTGAGATGGAGTTTTGCTCTGTCACGGAGGTCAGAGTGCAATGGCCTCATCTTGGCTCACTGCAAGCTCTGCCTCCCTGGGTTCACGCCATTCTCCTGCCTCAGCCTCCCGAGTAGCTGGGACTACAGGCACCCACCACCACGCCCAGCTAATTTTTTGTATTTTTAGTGGAGACGGGGTTTCACCATGTCAGCCAGGATGGTCTCGATCTTCTGACCTCATGATCTGCCCGCCTTGGCCTCCCAAAGTTCTGTGATTACAGGCGTGAGCCACCATGCCCGGCCAATGCAATTTCTTTAAAGCTAACACTACCAAGAAAATGTATCACTATAATCAGTTTTTTATTCAATTTAAAGGCTTTAAAAAATTGTTTGTCCCGACAAAATAACCAAATGTTGATCACCTATATATTTTAAGTTTCAAAAGAAAATGTTTTGTCTTCCCCCAGGGCCTCTGCATAAGGTGAGGGTGTGATGATGACTCAGACTGGGCTTCTGTTACTCTCCTGCCCAGGTGAGTTTCCCAAATTGACGTTCCTTTCATGTTTCTCACAAAAGCTATGGAATCAACGTGGTATTTGGTCAGAAGTTGTGCAAGACTGAAAACTTATAGCCTGGGCAGGTATGGCTACTTTGAAAATTGTGCACCTTTATAAAATAAGAAAACAATGCTTCTTTTTAATAGCTTAAAAATGCTCTTCCATGATTTAGAGTATTTAATGTGGAGGTAGAAGTTAAGCCAATCTGATGCTTTTTCTTTAGAGATATTGGATATTGGATTTTATCTGTCTAGATTACTCTCAGTTGTTTCTCTGAACTATAATTTTGATAACATCACAAGGGCAAGTTATATTCGTTATTTATGGTACCTGCAACATAGTGAAGACTTTCATCTATATGCATACATTCTTTTTTTTTTTTTTTTTTTTTTTTTTTTTTTTTTTTTTTTTTGAGATAGAGTCTTGCTTTGTCACCCAGGCTGGAGTGCAGTGGCGCGATCTCGGTTCACTGCAAGCTCTGCCTCCTGGGTTCATGCCATTCTCCTGCCTCAGCCTCCCGACTAGCTGGGACTACAGGCGCCCGCCACCACGCCTGGCTAACTTTTTGTATTTTTAGTAGAGATGGGGTTTCACCATGTTAGCCAGGATGGTCTCAATCTCCTGACCTCATGATCTGCCTACCTCAGCCCCACAAAGTGCTAGGATTACAGGTGTGAGCCACCGCGCCTGGCCTACATGCATACATTCTTTACAGGTCAGGAATAGATCATGAAGCAACATCTATACAGTTTTTAGGGAATATAGCCTCCTAAATTGTGGTTTCATCCTCAACAACAAAAGTGAATCCGCAGTGTTCGCTATGGAAATTGTATTAATTTGCTTCTTTTCTTCCCAAATCATATGTTTCAGTTAACTTCTGTTAGCAACAAGACTTTTATATATGTAAGGACTTACAAACTATGCCACACATGCATTTCTCCTAAAAATATATTTATTAAATTGATAGAAAGTTTAAAATGAATAAAAATAATGCTTGTGCTCCCTCTTCCCATGTTGGGGTCTCTCACATGTTAGCCCTCATAACAGTGAGGGTTGGAAGTCCCTGAAAAGAATGTTGCTCTCCACCATGTGCTCCTACAGCATCATGGACACATCTGCATGACAGCATTAATCCCTTTCAAGGGAAATGCATTCTCTAAAAAATAGATTTTAGTGAGGTAAAATATGCATACAAAATTCACTCTTTCCATGTTTAAATATACAGTTCAATAGCAATAAATATATGTATATTCTTCCCCCACTTTCCTTCTCCCCTCCCCGCTCCCTTCCTGGCCTCTCGTAACCACCATTCTCTTTTCTACCTTCATGAGATCCACTTTTTGTAGCTCCCACATATGAGGGAGAACATGTGATATTTGTCTTTCTGTGCTTGGTTTATTTCACTTAACATAATGGCCTCCAGTTCCATCCATGTTGCTGCAAATAACAGGATTTCATTCATTTTTATGGCTAAATTATATTCCATTGTTTATCTGTACCCCAATTTGTTAGTCTATTCATCTGTTGATGGGTATTTAGGTTGATTCCATATCTTGGCTATCATGAATAGCGCTGTAATAAACATGAGAGTGTAGATACCTCTTTGATATATTGATTTCCTTTCTTTTGGATACATGTCCAGTAGTGGGATTGCTGGATCATATAGTAGTTTTAGTTTTAGTTTTCTGAGGAACCTCCGAACTGTTCTCCATAGTGGTTGTACAAATTTACATTCCAACCAGCAGTGTATGAGTGTTCTCTTTCTCCATATACTTGTCAGCATCTGCTATTGCCTGTCTTTTTGATATAAGCCATTTTAACAGAGTGAGATGATATCTCACTGTGGTTTTGGTTTGCATTTCTCTGATGATTAGTAATGTTGAGCATTTTTTCATATACTTGTTGGCCATTTGTATGTATTCTTTTGAGAAATGTCTGTTCAAATCTTTTGCCCATTTTTAAATCAGATTATTTGATTTTTTTTCCCATTGAGTTGCTTGAGCACCTTATATATTCTCATTATTAATCTCTTGTCAAATGGATGGTTTGTAAATATTTTCTCCCATTCTGTGAGTTGTCTCTTCACTTTGTTCATTGTTTCCTCTGTTGTGCGGAAGTTTTTTGGCTTGATGTAATCTTATAAGTACCGTGTGCTAACTGATTTCACCACTGGAGCCACTTGATGTAATCTTAATTGTCTATTTTTGCTTTGATTGCCTGGAGTTTACACCAACAGCAAACAATCTGGAAAAGAAACCAATAAAGCAATTCCACTTATTATAGCTACAAAAATATAAATTACCTAGGAATCAGTCTAATCAAAGAAGTGAAAGATCTAGATGAGAAAAACTATAAAACAATCCTTCTGAGAGGAATATTGAAGAGGACACAATAAGTGGAAAGATAGTCCATGCTCTGGACTAGAAAAATTAATGTTGTTGAGAGAATACTATCCAAAGCAATTTGCAGATTCAATGCAATCCTTATCAAAATGCCAATGACTTTCTTCAAAGAAATAGAAAAGAATCCAAAAATTTATATGGAATTTATTTGCATAAATAGCCAAAGCAATCCTGAGCAAAAAGAACAAAGTTGGGAGCATCACACTACCTGAGTTCAAAATTCATTACAAAGCCATAGTAACCAAAACAGCATGGTACTGGCATAAAAACAGACATCAGACCAATGGAACAGAATAGAGAATCCAGATATGAAAACAGGTATTTACAGCCAACTCATCTTTGACAAAGTTGCCAAGAACATACAATGGTGAAAAGATAGTCTTCAATAAATGGTGCTGGGAAAACTGGATATCCATATGCAGAAGAATGAAACTAAACCTCTATCTCTCATCATACTCATAAATCAAATCAAAATATATTAAAGACTTAAATCTAAGACCCAAAACTATGAAACTATATGAACAAACAGTGGGGAAACACTCCAGGACTTTGGTCTGGGAAGTGCACTCTTACATGTTTCTTTCTTTCACTTAATTGTGAGGGTTGGGGGCAATACGGTAGAATGTCAGGGTTGAGTTTAAATCCGCTCTAGGCCGTGGTTTAGTTTTGAGATTGAGGTTAAGCTACATAACCTCCCCAAATCTCCATTTTATCACTTGCTTAGAAAAAGACAGATTAATAATACCTCCCTATATCACAGGATTGAGTATGGAATGGATATGAACTTACCTGCTATATGTTAGGTGCTCTGGAAATGAGAATGTTTACACCTAATTTTTAGTGTTATCTATCTTTTAGTAATCAATGCTTGTCTCTATCTATCCTAAGTAAGGAGTGTAATAAATGTATGTTGAATGAATAAACTGATGAATAGAGGGAGAAGAAGGAGTCATCAAGGTTTTGCTTTGAAGGAGTTTGCCTGGAAGATATTTTCTTCTTTTTCCCCCAGCCAGCATTCCTCACTCAAATTCCTAATACTTTCCAGTGCTTATATAGTGTTAGCATGTGGGCAGGTGAAACGGAATGAAATGGCAGTGGCTTTTGGCCATTCAGTGCCTACTTTTGAGTTGGTTAATTAGTCAATTGAGTTAGGTAGAAACCATTGTTCCGTATGTTAAGCCTAAATCCACAAAAATAGGGGAAAATGTATTTCTCAAAATTATTACTGTCAGGTGTAAAGAAAAGCTTACAGCACTCCAGAAAGTGTCCCCAGCTAGCCCACTGGTGCCGAACCCTTGGCTCTGTGCTGTAGAAACCTTCAAAGAGGCTAGAGAAAGATGAATCTCCACTCCCCATCCACCATGTTGCAATACCAAGTGCTTTCCATAAGCATTTTTTAAGCTAAAAGACAAACGTACACATCCATCATTATTATTTCATTAGTTCTCCCCTTCAAAATAACCTATTTCTTTCTCTATGTCTCTTTTGCCTGTTGCTCTAACAGCAGGTGATGAAAGAGAAGCCTCCCCAAAGAAGATTAAAACACGATTTGTTATGAAACTTCTAGTTTTCCATGGTTAAATGCTACTCAGAATACAGGTAAAGCCACGAGGAGTTTCCCTGGTGTTTGCCAAGCCCAAAGCCGCAGACAGATGAGAGGGGCAGAACATGAGCAATGAGGGAATGTGGGCTGAGGGATTCCATGTTTAGACAGATGGCTTTAGGCAGTGGGGCTGGCCAGAGAAAGCAAGAGCCTGCCTGGGGCACCAGGCCCCGGGAGAGCAAGCAGAGACGTTTGCATCAACCATGTGAGCTCATGGGGGGAATCAAGTATGAAGACAGGATTCTCAGTCATCATCAACCGCAAAGTGTCACTAGGAAAGGAGAGTGGCTTTAGTCATCAATTGGATAAATGGCTTATTTTTCTTGAAGAAGAGCATTTATGAGAATGAAGTCATGTGGAAAAAGGTGTCAAAATAAGAAGCAGTAGTGATAGACCTGGCTGGGTGCGAGTGGTGACGGGGTGGTAATCTGGCTTCCTTGTTATCTCCTGACCATTATGTGTTCTTGGTCTGGAACTGGCCTACTAACTAGGTTTATTTATTTATTAAATTAAAATAATTTTTTTTTTTTTTTTTTTGAGATGGAGTCTCACTCTGTCACCCAGGCTGGAGTCTCGATCTGTTGCCCAGGCTGGAGTGCAGTGGCATAATCTTGGCTCACTGCACCCTCCACCTCCCAGATTCAAGTGATTCTCCTGCCTCAGTTCCTGAGTAGCTGGGATTACAGGTGCCAGTCACCACGCCCAGCTAGTTTTTGTATTTTTAGTAGAGATGGAGTTTCAACATGTTGGCCAGGCTGGCCTGACCAACTCCTGACCTCGAGTGATCTGCCCACCTGGGTCTCCCAAAGTGCTGAGATTACAGGCGTGAGCCACTGCACCTGGTCACTAACTAGGTTTATTTCATATGTCAAAGAATCTGATGATTGATTACTGATGTCTGCCCCAGGATCAGAAAGACAACTGGTAGTATTCATGCCATTTCCTGGCCTCCCAGGTACAGAACTTAACCTCCTTAGACTTTATTTTCTTTGTCTTGAGAACGATGCCAACTACAATTATGCGAATTATTCTAAACCTAAGGACTAACCAGTGAGAGTATTGTCTGAGGGTTACTGTGAGTACATTGAGTTCACTTGTTTATAAAACCATTTTCAGCATTCAAGTAAATGAAAGTATTCAACCTTCAATATAATTCATCATAACTCACGCACTGTATGTTTTTCTCTTTCTTTTCCTTTTGGCTGTATATTAGAAATCCCAAAATACCACAATAAAACCTTAGGTTCATTGTTCCTGCATATCCTATTCTTGTTTATACTTAGAATTTTTTAAGGACATTGAACAAATTCAGATTAGTAATGAGCTCACAAAAGGACTAGAAGGCCTGAAAAGAGTAAGTGAAATAACAAAGTAAGTGAAAATAAGGTACTAGTCAAGCCCCCAAAGTACAGATGTTCAATGGGGACACACTTTCTGTTATCCTGAACTCCAAGCACACAGCAAAATTAGCAAAGCACAGAGAAGAAAAAATTCTGTTAATTTTCTTCCTCCAGTAAACACCTTATTTCAGTTTTTCTGAAACTGGGTCTGCAGATACATTTTGAAGCTTTGTGATTTTTTTTTTTCTTTAAAAGTTTTTATCCAATGACTGAAATTTAGAAGCATTGCTTTACTAAAATTTTAAAATATGAAATATTTCAAATCTCAGAAAACAATGCAACAGATACCAAGGGAGCCCATCAAGCAAATTGGGAGGATTTGCTGTATTGTTTCTGATCTCCAATTTTTTTAATGGAATACAAAACTTACATATGTAATTAAAGCCACTCTGCAGGCTTCCTTTCTCTTTTCTTCCCACTTGAGAGGTAGCTGCTAACTTGTTGAATTCACTTTGTGGCTTCATAGATTTTTTTCTATGATGGCATTTCATTAAGTTGTATTAAGCATTCATTTTTTTTCACTGCAAAAACGGATTAAACACCTACTGTTCATCTATCTATTTTGGATACAAATGTGAAAGGTATTTAAGGAACAGAACAAAAGCACAGAAATGAGATTAGTGACTAAGAGATTAATTAACTGTACATTCAACAGATTTACCAAATACCCATGAAGTGCTAGTTCACAGTTTTTCAATAATGAGTGGCAAAGAACGGGTGATGGGTGGAGCAACTCTGATTCATCTAATACTAACACAGTTTTGACATTAGTATCAAAATCATAGATTAATTGAGAACTGGGACTGAGAGGTCTGGCTCCCTAGATTTGGCTGATGATCCTTGGCATGACCTTGAAGAAGTCAGCAGCCCTGGCTCTACTGCTATCATTGGTGAAATATGGATGCAATGAAACATTTTCTTCACACAGAGGCATTAGTACAAATAAGTTCATGTCCTTGAAACCTCTGAATAAAAGCTCATTATATTCCAGGCTACAGATGGAATAGAGACTAATTTTGTTAAATAGAGATAAACAAAGAGCATATTATTAATTGGAGAACTTGCGTGTTGAAAATTGGGAAGGATAATCATTCATTAGTTTAAATGAGGCTTTACATATTAATTATAACCAATATATATTAGGTAAAATATTGAGAGAGACTGAAAAGGCCACATATACATGCTAATATAGGTTTGGGTTTTTAAGCACTGGGGTTTTAGTGTCTCATTTAGTGAAATGCCGTAAGAACCAGAAGATTTTGAAGGCTGAATGAAAACAAGAAGTGATTGTGGTTATCAATATGAGAAACAACATCACTCCATTAATGAATACTCAAATTGTTTCATCTTTATTGACCTCACCTTCTAAAGTAGATAATCCTTAAGATCCTCTCTGGTACTCTAGCTTTCTTCTTTCTGAGCATGTTATTCCTTTGTATTTTAGTCATGACAAACGAATTTGTACAAAATAGTGTCTTCAAATTTACACTGTGACCAAAATGTTGGATTGAAAACAAAATTTATTGCCTTTATTTAATATTTCGATGCCATAGCAGAGATTTAAAAACTATTATTTATACTATTTGAGAGTTAATTGTAACTCAGAATATAGAGTTAACTCTTTTTCTTTTAGTAGCAAGAACTTTTTGGCAGCAAGATTTTGTTTCAGTGACAGACATGACACAGAAACAGAAAATATGATTGTATACCTTTAACCTTATCACCAGGCACCTGAGCTATTGGTCATGATCTGGCTTCCAAGTTGCAATCTGTCGCTCACTGCTTGCCTGAAATGGGCCAGAAAAGCAGGTTTATTGTGTTTCTACAGTTACATAGAAGTAGAAATGCTCCTTGGACCTCTGACTGCAAGATGACAGACTAGATTAAAATACAGAAATGTATTAAAGAGACATGTATTCACAGTTCAGTTTTTTAAAGATTCACACACTCAATATATTTCTTTTTGGTACTCCTGTAACATACTTGACAAGATGCCACTGTCAAGCCTTTTTGTACATTGGTTGCCCAAATTAGTTTTAAGCAGATGATTTTTTACATCAGTTAAGATAATACTAATCTTTTCATTAGTTTAACTTTGAAATGATGTTTAAGAACATGATACTTAAATACAATGATTTTCCTATTTTGCCAGCAACAGCTCCAACATGCCAATACATGTGGAAATTTCTTGAAAGAAATGTTCAGGATTGTAAACATCTTTGCTGAAGTCCTCAGAATTACAAATTTATGATTCAGAACAAATTTTCAAGTTGAAAAAATAGAAAACTCAATGATTATAACATCTAGGTCTATGGATGAAATCTGTTAGCAATGTGGAGGTGATAGTAAAAATGGGTTTTAATTAAAGATAAGTATTTGTACATGTGATTTTTCTGGGCAGAAATAACTATTTATTATATTCTAAAACCCATGAAGGCAGCAACATACAGAAAACAACTTTGGACAAGTTATTTAATCTTTCATACTTTATTTCTTCATTTGTAAAACAAGGGTAATACCAGTCCTTACATCACAGATTTATTGGAGGCATTGAATGACATAATATGCAAAAAGCACCTGAAACAGTCCTCACACATACTAAGCATTCAATACTTGTTACCTGTTATTATTTTTAATATTATTATTAGGAGTGATAATGCAAAACACTGATAAGACAAAGGCAATTCAGGGTGTTCTTGTCTATTTTAAAGCCTTCATGTCTTAATTTAGAAACTTTTTCACTTCTAGTTAGGATATTAGGTCTAAAACACTTAATCTGACTTTTCTGTTAGAAAGGTATGATTATATATGTCAAAGAGGAGAATTATTTCAAAGTTTAATTACAGTTTGGATGAAGAAGTTGAGTGATTGTCTTTTGGCAATTGGAATTTCTTTCTAAATTCCTACACTTTAAAAACTGAAGTGTTAACCTCACTATTGTAGCACACACAGGTTCAGTAGAGTCTCATACTGGAATCCTCATTTCATTGCTTTGGAAGGGGTCCGATGAAGATAGTTTGTCTGATGATGAAGATAATCTTTGAGGTAGAATCCCAGGAAGAAATGGATGGGACACTCCTATGGGGTAATTTGAGCAGAGATACTGGGACCACAGCACAGATGAAGGTGCCAGGATGTAGTCTACCAGTGGTACCCGGGAGCTAGCACCATCCTGAGCTTTTACCACACACACCTGAAGGGGCGAGCGGTTCTGATCCTGGAGACAGAGGGGGTCTGCAGAGAGCGCGGCCTCACAGCATTGAAGGGTAGCTTGCCTGTGGTGACACTGTAGGAAGGGAGCTGAGGGAATAACCACTACAAGCTTACTGTCCCTGGCCGAACCCAACCAGAAGCCAGGGGACATGGGGACTGTTGGTATCTTTCACTTCCTGTCCAACTTTCACTTCCTGTCCAACTTTCCTGTGCAATCCGGGGTTGATTGCACATGAAAAAGGGTGGAGTGTGGATCTGTAGGGAAAATGGTGGGGAGGGGGGTGTGAGGGGAACAAAATAAAAACAAACTAGTACAGGTTACCGGCAGTAAACATGTGACTAATGATAAAAGTGTTCTTTTTTTCTCCCCGTCTTTTTTTTTTTTTTTTTTTTTTTTTAAAGACAGAATCTTGCTCTATCGCCCAGGCTGGAGCGCAATGGCGCGATCTTGGCTCACTGCAACCTACCCCTCCCAGGTTCAAGCGGTTCTCCTGCCTCAGCCTCCTGAGTAGCTGGGACTATAGGCGTGCACCACCACGCCCAGATAATTTGTGTATTTTTAGTAGACACAGGGTTTCACCATGTTGGCCAGGATGGTCTCCATCTCTTGACCTGGTGATCTGCCCGCCTTGGCCTCCCAAAGTGCTGGGATTGCAGGCATGAGTCACTGTACCCGGCCTTCTCCCCTTCTTTTTATCCCATAAAACTGGCATAGAGAAATAGGATTGCTCTTAAAACGTTTAAATTATATAAGCAGGGATCCCATTTAACATACTTTTCAGAGAGAGATGCCTGTCAGGTGAAAGTTACTCTGAAGGTAGCTTTATTTAAGATATTCATATACCCAAAGAACGAGTATGTGGACCAGAAAGAAGCTGTTGAAGCTACTACATTCTAATTAAATTAATGATTTTCTTTCCAAATTCCCCTTGAATCTCTATTCTTACTTAGCTTTCTATCACAACACATACCAAATGACCCATTCCAAATACCGACATTGGTGGATTAGAGTATACTTAGTTTCACTTAAGAATTATGGGGGTTTTAGTTATTTTATGATAATATTATTATGGTCACATATCATTTTGAAAAATATAGTTCATTCAAGAATACAAACAATCTAATGGATATTTGGTTACTTCATAACAATCATTTTAAGTATATCATACAAACGAACATGGTTAACTTTTAATATTTTTCAGAGGGGATGATATAGATTCTGCCTTATTTTGCCTCTATAGTAAAATTATTGATAAAGTAATTAAAGATATATTGTTCTACATTTGTATGCCCGTGGACAGTAATTATCAGCCTCTTTTATGTTTCACTAGTAATTATATCCCATAAAGTAATTATTAATTACCATAAAATAATTATATAGTAATTAAAACCTATATCCTGTAGGTTTTAACAAATAAGAAATGTAAAACCATATACTTTCAGGAAAGGTCATATTTCATAAATATTCTGTTGTTATGTTTATCATTTACTGTAAGTGTTAAGCCTGTGAAACATTGTAGTAGAAATTGCTAATGTTTTAAAACAAGCCAAAACTATTCTTTTATGGTCAACTACAAATTTTACTACTTTAGTAACCGTAAAACATAAAGATGCTCAACAAAAAATATTGCCATCATTAGGTTTATGTAAAATTCTACAACTTCAGATGGACAAAGCAGAAAAAAGGTGTTGGCATTCAGAGGGCAACTGATATGAAGATGAAGCCTGAATGTAAAAGATAGATCAAGGACACGGTTGGTCAAACGAATGGAGAAGCGACAGAAGTCAAATGGATATCTACAGTAAGCAAGGCCATTGGGAAGCTGGACAAGAAAAAGTCTTTTTGTGCCCATGGGAAACAAAGATTAGAATAAATTTGTCCAAGCTGACAATGAGTACATCGGAAGGCATAGATTCCCAGAAGCCAGAGCAGGGTCAGAAGGACACGCCACACACCTGATGGTCAGCCAGTTATCAAAGTTGTAATGCTAATTTTGTCTCATGTGGGCTCCAGTAGGTTAGAGGACTTCTGGCCCCATCATGGTACTGGGATCCTGTGGCAACAGGATGCCCTAATATACGTTGTGGCATATTTTTTAAAAAATTTTAGATAGTCACAATGCTTTCAATTATATCTCAGAACTAAAATTTGTTTTACTTTCTAATATAAAATAATTGAAATAATTATTGTAGTGTCAAATAATAAATAAAATAATGTAAAATTAAAATAAGTGAAATAATACTTTCACTTCATACATTAGGAAGTATGATGTACTCATTAGGATCTATGAGTGTATAGCAAACAATGCCACTTAAATCAACACTGGCTAATGTTTCCAGCACAGCCCTGGGGACTAGACTGGTGTTCCCAAGTCTGGCTTGGTGGCAGCAGCTGTTAAGATCGCCCAGCTTGCTCTCCTTGCTTGACTTTCATCTTGTCAAACTTCTCTCTGATAATAATTTGGCTTTCCTTGTAGATTTGTCTACAGGGTGGCAAATGAACAAACAAGAGGATTCAGTCTGCTGTTTTCTACATCTTTTGTTGTAAACAAATACATTGCCATCCTGGTTATTATACATCAGTAACTGAGGGTCCAATTAACATGAGTTCCCTCAGGAGGGAAGCACCTGCTCCTCATGTTCTGATTGATTAGGTTGCAGGGTCTAGTCCAGAGCACTTGGTATTCTTTGCTACGTTTGCTTTTTCTCTCAAAGCATAACAGGAAGTCTGAGAAGACTTTTACACACGATACTTTTTTGGGTATATTATTGGTATCCTTGGTACAATTAAACTAACTTACTTACCTGTGTCTTGATCCACCATAAATTCTGGAAACTGTCCTGATTCAGATATTGCCCATCATAAAACTTTCTTACAAATCAATTAACTGAAAGAACAAAGACCAAATTAAAAAAGGATAAAGTCTTCCCTTCTGTTTTCTTTTTGGGGAAAGTTGATGCACACCCTAAGAAATTACATATGTCTTAACCCAAATACAAAAGTAAAAGTAGTAAGAGTGAATTCTGGAAAACACTAGGATAATGAGAAAATATATATATATATATATGTGTGTGTGTGTGTATATATATACACACATATATATATATATCCCAGTTTTTAAAAAAAATTATACTTTAAGTTCTAGGGTACATGTGCACAATGTGCAGGCTTGTTACATATGTATACATGTGCCATGTTTGTGTGCTGCACCCATCAACTCGTCATTTACATTAGGTATATCTCCTAATGCTATCCCTCCCCACTCCCCCAACCCCATGACAGGCCCCAGTGTGTGATGTTTCCCACCCTGTGTCCAAGTGTTCTCATTGTTCAATTCCCACCTATGAGTGAGAACATGCAGTGTTTGGTTTTCTGTCCTTGCGATAGTTTGCTGAGAATGATGGTTTCCAGTTTCATCCATGTCCCTACAAAGGACATGAACTCATCCTTTTTTATGGCTGCATAGTATTCCATGGTATATATGTGCCACATTTTCTTAATCCAGTCTATCATTGATGGACGTTTGGGTTGGTTCCAAGTCTTTGCTATTGTGAATAGTGCTGCAATAAACATACGTGTGCATGTGTCTTTACAGCAGCATGATTTATAATCCTTTGGGTATATACCCAGTAATGGGATAGCTGGGTCAAATGGTATTTCTAGTTCTAGATCCTTGATGAATCGCCACACTGTCTTCCACAATGGTTGAACTAGTTTACAGTCCCACTAACAGTGTAAAAGTGTTCCTATTTCTCCACATCCTCTCCAGCAACTGTTGTTTCCTGACTTTTTAATGATTGCCATTCTACCTGGTGTGAAATGGTATCTCATTGTGGTTTTGCTTCGCATTTCTCTGATGACCAGTGATGATAAGCATTTTTTCATGTATCTGTTGGCTGCATAAATGTCTTCTTTTGAGAATTGTCTTTTCATATCCTTTGCCTGCTTTTTGATGGGGTTGTTTGATTTTTTTCTTGTAAATTTGTTTAAGTTCTTTGTAGATTCTGGATATTGGCCCTTTGTCAGATGGGTAGATTGCAAAAATTTCCTCCCATTCTGTAGGTTGACTGTTCACTCTGACAGTAGTTTCTTTTGCTGTGCAGAAGCTCTTTAGTTTAATTAGATCCCATTTGTCAATTTTGGCTTTTGTTGCCATTGCTTTTGGTGTTTTAGTCATGAACTCCTTGCCCATGCCTATGTCCTGAATGTTGTTGGCTAGGTTTTCTTCTAGGGTTTTTATGGTTTTAGGTCTAACATTTAAGTCTTTAATCCATCTTGAATTAATTTTTGCATAAGGTCTAAGGAAGGGATCCAGTTTCAGCTTTCTACATATGGCGAGCCAGTTTTCCCAGCACCATTTATTAAATAGGGAATCCTTTCCCCATTTCTTGTTTTTGTCAGGTATGTCAAAGATCAGATGGTTGTACATGTGTGGTATTATTTCTGAGGGCTCTGTTCTGTTCCATTGGTCTATATTTGTTTTGGTACCAGTACCATGCTGTTTTGGTTACTGTAGCCTTGTAGTATAGCTTAAAGTCAGGGAGTGTGATGCCTCCAGCTTTGTTCTTTTGGCTTAGGATTGTCTTGGCAATGCGGGCTCTTTTTTGGTTCCATATGAACTTTAAAGTAGTTTTTTTCCAATTCTGTGAAGAAAATCATTGGTAGCTTGATGGAGATGGCATTGAATCTATCAATTACCTTGGGCAATATGGCCATTTTCACAATATTGATTCTTCCTATCCATGAGCATGGAAAGTTCTTCCATTTCTTTGTGTCCTTTTTTATTTCATCGAGCAGTGGTTTGTAGTTCTCCTTGAAGAGGTCCTTCACATCCCTTGCAAGTTGGATTCCTAGGTATTTTATTCTTTTTGAAGCAATTGTGAATGGAGTTCACTCATGATTTGGCTCTCTGTTTGTCTGTTATTGGTGTATAGGAATGCTTGTGATTTTTGCACATTGATTTTGTATCCTGAGACTTTGCTGAAGTTGCTTATCAGCTTAAGGAGATTTGGGGCTGAGACGATGGGGTTTTCTAAATATACAATCATGTCATCTGCAAACAGGGACAATTTGACTTCCTCTTTTCCTAATAGAATACCCTTTATTTCTTTCTCCTGCCTGATTGCCCTGGCCAGAACTTCCAACACTATGTTGAGAGAGGGCATCCCTGTCTTGTACCAGTTTTCAAAGGGAATGCTTCCAGTTTTTGCCCATTCAGTATGATATTGGCTGTGGGTTTGTCATAAATAGCTCTTATTATTTTCAGATATGTCCCATCAATACCCAGTTTATTGAGAGATTTTAGCATGAAGGGCTGTTGAATTTTGTCAAAGGCCTTTCTGCATCTATTGAGATAATCATGTGGTTTTTGTCTTTGGTTCTGTTTGTATGATGGATTATGTTTATTGATTTGTGTATGTTGAACCAGCCTTGCATCCCAGGATGAAGCCAACTTGATTGTGGTGGATAAGCTTTTTGATGTGCTGCTGGATTTGGTTTGCCAGTATTTTATTGAGGATTTTTGCTTCAATGTTCATCAGGGATATTGGTCTAAAATTCTCTTTTTTTGTTGTGTCTCTGCCAGGCTTTGGTATCAGGATGAGGCTTTGGTATCAGGATAATGCTGGCCTCATAAAATGAGTTAGGGAGGATTTCCTTTTTTTCTATTGATTGGAATAGTTTCAGAAGGAATGGTACCAGCTCCTCTTTGAACCTCTGGTAGAATTCGGCTGTGAATCCATCTGGTCCTGGACTTTTTTTGGTTGGTAGGCTATTAATTATTGCCTCAATTTCAGAGCCTGTTGTTGGTCTATTCAGGGATTCAACTTCTTCCTGGTTTAGTCTAAGGAGGGTATATGTGTCCAGGAATTTATCCATTTCTTCTAGATTTTCTAGTTTATTTCCATAGAGGTGTTTATAGTATTCTCTGATGGTAGTTTGTATTTCTGTGGGATCAGTGGTGATATCCCCTTTACCATTTTTTTTATTGTGTCTATTTGATTCTTTTCTTCTCTTTTCTTCTTTATTAGTCTTGCTAGTGGTCTATCAATTGTGTTGATCTTTTCAAAACACCAGCTCCTGGATTCATTGATTTTTTGAAGGGTTTTTTTTTGTGTCTCGATCTCCTTCAGTTCTGCTCTGATCTTAATTATTTCTTGCCTTCTGCTAGCTTTTGAATGTGTTTGCTCTTTCTTCTCTAGTTCTTTTAGTTGTGATGTTAGGGTGTCAATTTTAGATCTTTCCTGCTTTCTCTTGTGGGCATTTAGTGCTATAAATTTCCCTCTATACACTGCTTTAAATGTGTCTCAGAGATTCTGGTATGTTGTATCTTTGTTCTCATTGTTTTCAAAGAACATCTTTATTTCTGCCTTCATTTCGTTATGTACCCAGTAGTCATTCAGGAGCGGGTTGTTCAGTTTCCATGTAGTTGAGCAGTTTTGAGTAAGTTTCTTAATTCTGAGTTCTAGTTTGATTGCACTGTGGTCTGAGAGACAGTTTGTTGTGATTTCTATTCTTTTACATTTGCTGAGGAGTGCTTTACTTCAAACTATGTGGTCAATTTTGGAATAAGTGTGACATGGTGCTAAGAAGAATGTATATTCTATTGAGTTGGGGTGGAGAGTTCTGTAGATGTCCATTAGGTCTGCTTGGTGCAGAGTTGAGTTCAGTTCCTGAGTATCCTTATTAACTTTCTGTCTCATTGATCTGTCTATGTTGACAGTGGGGTGTTAAAGTCTCCCATTATTATTGTGTGGGAGTCTAAGTCTCTTTGTAAGTCTCTAAGGACTTGCTTTATGAATCTGAGTGCTTCTGTATTGGGTGCATATATATTTAGGATAGTTAGCTCTTCTTGTTGAATTGATCCCTTTACCATGATGTAATGGCCTTCTTTGTCTCGTTTGATCTTTGTTGGTTTAAAGTCTGTTTTATCAGAGACTGGGATTACAACCCCTGCTTTTTTTTTGCTTTCCATTTGCTTGGTAGATCTTCCTCCATCCCTTTATTTTGAGCCTTTGTGTGTCTCTGCACGTGAGATGGGTCTCTTGAATACAGCACACTGATGGGTCTTGACTCTTTATCCAATTTGCCAGTCAGTGTCTTTTAATTGGAGCGGTTAGCCCATTTACATTTAAGGTTAATATTGTTATTGTGAATTTGATGCTGTCATTATGATGTTAGCTGGTTATTTTGCTCATTAGTTGATGCAGTTTCTTCCTAGCATCGATGGTCTTTACAATTTGGCATGTTTTTGCAGGGACTTGTACCAGTTGTTCCTTTCCATGTTTAGTGCTTCCTTCAGGAGCTCTTGTAAGGCAGGCCTGGTGGTGACAAAATCTCTTAGCATTTGCTTGTCTGTAAAAGATTTTATTTCTCCTTCACTTATGAAGCTTAGTTTGGCTGGATATGAAATTCTGGGTTGAAATTTATTTTCTTTAAGGATGTTGAATATTGGCCCCCACTCTCTTCTGGCTTATAGAGTTTCTGCCGAGAAATCCACTGTTAGTCTGATGGGCTTCCCTTTGTGAGAATCTGAATGTTGGCCTGCCTTGCTAGGTTGGGGAAGTTCTCAGGGATAATATCCTGAGGAATGTTTTCCAACTTGATTCCATTCTCCCTGTCACTTTCAGGTACACCAGTCAGACGTAGATTTGGTCTTTTCACATAGTCCCATATTTCTCGGAGGCTTTGTTTGTTTCTTTTTACTCTTTTTTCTCTAAACTTCTCTTCTCGCTTCATTTCATTCATTTGATCTTCAATCACTGATACCCTTTCTTCCACTTGATGGGATCAGCTACTGAAGCTTGTGCATGCATAACATAGTTCTTGTGCCATAGTTTTCAGCTCCATTAGGTCATTTAAGGTCTTCTCTACACTGTTTATTCTAGTTAGTCATTTGTGTTATCTTTTTTCAAGGTTTTTAGTTCTTTGCGATGGGTTCGAACATCCTCCTTTAGCTTGGAGGAGTTTGTTATTACCAGTCGTCTGAAGCCTTCTTGTCTCAACTCGTCAAAGTCATTCTCCATTCAGCTTTGTTCTCTTGCTGGGGAGGAGATGCGTTCCATTGGAGGAGAACAGGCACTCTGATTTGTAGAATTTTCAGCTTTTCTGCTCTGGTTTCTCCCTATCTTTGTGGTTTTGTCTACCTTTGGTCTTTGATGATGGTGATATACAGTTGGGGTTTTGGTGTGGATGTCCTTTCTGTTTGTTAGTTTTCCTTCTAACAGTCAGGACCCTCAGCTGCAGGTCTGTTGGAGTTTGCTGGAGGTCCACTCCAGAACCTGTTTGCATGTGTATCACCAGCAGAGGCTGCAGAACAGCAAATATAGCAGAATGGCAAATGTTGCTGCCTGATCCTCTGGAAGCTTCGTCTCAGAGGCGCACCGGGCTATATGAGGTGTCAGTGAGCTGCTACTGGGAGACGTCTCCCATTTAGGCTACTCGGGAGTCAGGGACCCACTTGAGGGGGCAGTCTGTCCGTTCTCAGGTCTCAAACTCCATGCTGGGAGAACCACTGCTCTCTTCAAAGCTGTCAGACAGGGACGTTTAAGTCTGCAGAAGTTTCTGCTGCCTTTTGTTCAGTTACAGCCTGTCCCCAGAGGTGGAGTCTACAGAGGCAAGCAGGCCTCCTTGAGTTGCAGTGGGCTCCACCCAGTTAGAGCTTCCCTGGTCACTTTGTTTACCTACTCAAGTTTCAGCAATGGCAGACCCCCCTCCAGCCTCGCTGTGGCCTTGCAGTTCAATCTCAGACTGCTGTGCTAGCAGTGAGAGAGGCTCCGTGGGCGTGGGACCTTCCAAGCCAGGCACGGGATATAATCATCTGGTGTGCCATTTGCTAAGACTGTAGGAAAAGCACAGTATTAAGGTGGGAGCGTCCTGATTTTCCAGGTACCATTTGTCATGGCTTCCCTTGGCTAGGAAAGGGAATTCCTTGACCCCTTGTGCTTCCCTGGTGAGGCAATGCCCCACTCTGCTTCAGCTCACACTCCGTGGGCTGTACCCACTGTCTGACAAGCCCCAGTGAGATGAACCTTTTACCTCTGTTGGAAATGCAGAAATCACCCGTCTTCTGCATTGCTCACGCTGGGAGCTATAGACTGGAGCTGTTCTTATTTGGTCATCTTGGAACCTTCCCTTTTCAAGAAAATATTGAGTAAAGAGGCAGTGATAGAAATGGAAAGCTGAAGCTTTGTTATCCCTCTGCCGGATTGAAGTTTTGTGCCTCAGATCAAAAAGTTGAACTATGCATTATATTTACAAGTCAAAGCCTCATAAACTGAATGCCTTAGAAATTCTGGGGAGATACAAGCAAAGCATTCAAACTTGCTTATCTTCTACTTATTCATAGCTTATGTATTTCCTAAAAGGATTGTATGGTAATTTACAATATTATATAGTGTGGATAAAATAAAAGATAAATCCAGTTATATAAGTGTGAATTGCTGAACCATTTGAATGAAAGAAATCTTAGGTTTTCTTTTTCCAAGTAGCAAGCAAAATCTGTCTTTGAGCAAGATTTTGTAAGACATAGAAAACCAAATATTAATTTGTATATTTTCCTTACCTCTGTTAGCTTATAGAACTCTGTTCCAGCAACACAGGAAGGAGTCTGGTTCCCAGTTGATGGAGTGTCTTACTCTATGATTAGCTTCAGAAATAATCCAAAACTTGTCTTGTGGGCTCTGATGTTTAACGAGGATTGCAGAGATACCCCTACAGTGACTTGTTCTTTCATTCTGGGCTCTACCATGTAGACACTCTGTTGTTTTTCAGGATGAGAATAAAAATGAAATTATCAGTCCCCTTACAGACTGAACAGACCCCCTCTTGGCTAAGAAGACCCCAGGGAAACCTTGGAAGCTGAGTTCCCAGCCACGGTGGGATGGGAGGTTGAACATGCCTCCTTAAACCCATAGGACTTAAACCCATATGTCTGCTACCCATAGTCCCCTCTCTTGTCTCCCAGTTCTGAGGGCTTGGAAAAGCAATACCACTTACTCTGTCTTTTATCCTTATCAGTCAAAGCACAAGTCTCCAGTCCAGATGCTCATCTACTTTTTTGTCGTTTTCAAAAGTGCTGAGCATTTCCAAACACAGTTTTGGGGCAGCACGACAGTGGGGTGGGTGGATTATTTAGAGCTTTAGTCCTTGAAATACAAAATAACTGCAAATTCCCCTAAAGACAGTAAACTTCGGAACTCAACCCCTAAGGCCTTGCTAGCCTTTCTATAGGGAGAGTAAAAGGGAAAATTACTTTTTTTCCTTCTTTTTAAAAACTACACAAATGCAACCCAATGAAGACCCCAAGTGATTGTTTGTTTTTATGCAATAATGCAATTATAAAATGACAAGATTGTTTGTTTTTACGTAATAATGCAAGAATAAAATGACAAGACTAACACAGTAAAGGAAGGAGGGATATAAAATGGTTATATCAGAAACCTGAGTAAAAAATAAGTGTTTTTTTTTTTTTCTTACTAGAGTACAGACTTCTAGCACCTCAGTAGCTAAAATGATGAAGGAAACACAGTGGGTTGCCTAGCTATTGCCTAAAAATAGTAGGTGAACACTTATCTGTATTGTATTGATAAAGTACATTTGTTAACTAAGCATTTTCAGTGTAAGCTTTAATAGAACTTAGAACACTGCAGAAATTGGCTAAAGCACCGCAGCTGATTTGCAAGTAGTATGAAGATTTCTGCCACCTCTAACTTAGGACTAAACTGGTTCTTAAAAAGTGGCATTCAATTAGGCTTCGTACCTGGGAGTTGCCTGTAGTGGTTTTGAGAAATTATTCATTTTTAATGAATTTTTCCACCTCAGGGGTCACCATCACATTGACAACCCCCGGGGGGCATGAGAGATGCCTCCCTCTCTGTTGGGTCCCCCCACCAGCGACCTGGCAGCTGGTGCCGGCTCCCACTGTGGCATTCTGCAGGTGCAGCGACCCCAGCGCCACACCGCTGGGGAGGTCAGCCTCACGGTCCAGCTGCAGCAGCAAGTCATTCAGGTGGAGGTCAGCCATTCTCACGGATGGTCCGTGTGGAACACGTCTGCTGGGATCTCTCCCCCACATCTCAGGTCATGGGCCCCCAGCACCACGGAGGAAATTCCTCCTGCTGTGGAAGCAGCTGGCTGCAGTCAGCTGGAAACCAGGAAGGACCAGGGCACCCCCACAGAAGTGAATTTCCTGATCCTGAATCAAGATCAGAATCCTGGGGTCCAGCCTCAATGAGAACAACTAGTCAGTTTTCATTCATTTTGTTCAGATTTCCTAAGGAGTGGTTTTATGGGGGTGACATCATCAATCTCAAATGAATTTCTAAAATTCATTTTTTGGCCTAACTTCTTGTTGTAAACAATTCCTTTCTCTTCTTTATTGTCAAACCCAAGGGTTTAAACCCAGTTGGCATGTCTGGCAAGAAGTCGCTATTGGCGTCTGATGTCAAGTGGCAGCAGTACAGAACTGTGGGGGCGGAGAGTTCTAGGGAGATCCATGGTTGGGGGCGGGAGGGTAAGGTGGAAGTGGGTTTGGGGGAAGAGGCTGTGTGTAAGTAGAGGAGGAGCTAAGTGCCAGCACAGCCAGAGCCAGAGCCAGAGCCAGAGCCACAGTCTGAAAAGAAGCCAACTCTGAGCCAGGGATGAAGGAAGATGAGGAACCCCAGGACCCAGAGATATGCCAAACCAGGAAACGGAAATGCAAAGACAATACCTAAGCAGGGGCAGGACCTGGGGACAGAATGTGCCCAGATGCATGGGGAGGAGCCGACACAGTTCTCTAGAGCTGAGTGAAATCCAAGAAAGGCAATGGGAATCTTTCACCAGCGTCTACCACGTAACCAGCACTTTCAGGTGATCTGCTTGTCAGTTTTCTCCCAACTTCACAGTAATCTGGAGAGTATGTATTATTATTTTCATTGCAGCAAAATACATAATTTGGATCTTGGCTACTTCATCACAGTAGTCAGTAACATGAAACAGTGCATATCATAAGCTTAAAACATAGTGAGAAGAAATCCAGTAATACTCAGAATCCATTAATCAGTAAAACTCTAAAAGTGTATTAAAGACAAATTTATTTACGGCCACAATAAACACTATATACTTAGCCCAAGAGTTACCATTATATTTGGTAGAAAAGTTGAAAGCGCCAAGACTGAGGGGTTCAGGCTACCTTGTTACTTATCTCAGTGAGATGTGTACCAGAAAGTAGAGACAATGTAGAGAAAGGAAAAAATAAAAGAGGCAAATATAGAAAAGTAAGATTTCTCTTTACAATAGATGAAACTGTCTACTTAGAGAACTCAAGAATGGTAGCCAAGAAGTATTAATGGTAATTAAAAGGCAGAAAAAAAAAATCCACAGAAAACCTGTTACCTGTACATATGGTGTTGCTACTTTTCAGTTTCTGCATAGAATTCCATGTATGGGACATCATACTAAACAAATTAAACTGCAGTAGAAATATTAGGCCTGATATACTCAAGATATGGTCAGGTCAGTTCTCAAATCAATCGACATGATTAGTCCATCAGTTGACTTATTCGTTCATTGACTCTTTAATAATTGTTTATAAATAAAAACAAAGGCACTGCGTTGGGGGGTATGGTGAGACAGTTTCTAGGGCCTCTGTGCTTTTGGAGTGTCCAGTCTATTGGAGAAGCCAGCTGTTAAACATGTGGCTGTCATGAGGACTGGTAAGTGCTAGGATGGGGGAGACACAGGAAGGACTCTGCCATTGACCTGCCCTGGCACAGAGTAGGTTTCAGAGATAATTTTTGTGTCACACAAGAAAAATAGTTTTGTTAGTTTAGAGGGCATATCTCATTTTAAAATACAAAATTAACCAACCAACCAAACAAAAATATATCCAAGGCCCTGGAGTTACTTGTTAGCTTTGCACAGAAATGACATTGTAAACCTTGAGTTTCATTCACCTGACTGGGCTTCTGCTGACATTTGGATCTTTTAATCTTTAAACGTTTAACTTTTTTAAACCTTTGGACAAAGGTTTGTCATCACTGAGAATACGTGAGGTATTTTAAGTTCCGAAAGTGCTCCCGTAAGAGGGGCAACAATGCTCTGAGCAAGACAGCATCATTACCATAAATGTCAAACACCCCAAAGGGACTACTATAAAAGGGACAAAACTCTCTGAGATGAATCAGTACGGGATTTAAAAATGCATTCTCCTTACTTACATATCATCCCTTTTATGGTAGATCACCCTGGTTTTGCAGAGCTCTTAGTTAACCAGAATTTAGTGCTTACCTGCACTAATGCTTTCCCTTAAACACTGAACAATAATAGTTTTCTAAAATACTCACGTTAGGCATGGGAATTAGGATCAGATGAACTGGATTTGGGTCTCAGTCCAGCCTCAGGTTGTAACATGAAGACAGTCATTTAATTTCTTTAAGCCTCCAGTTTTCTCCAAAACATTTTATGAAAATGTTCAAACAAACGGCAAAGCTTAAAGACTTTTACAGTGAACACCCATAATCCCACCATTTAAACTTAATCATTAACATTTTCTTTATCACATATCTATTCATGTGTCCATCACTCTATCCATTCACTGATCCACTTACATTTTTGATGGATTTCAGAGTAAATTTGCAGATATTAGTATACTGCCCCTAAATACTTCAGCATATATAGCATTAACTAGAGTTGAATATTTGCTTACCATTTTTTATTCTGATGGAAAATATTTAAAATGCATAAGTGTGCTTTTGCTGAGTTTTGTCAAATTGCTAAGTTCTAGGGTTGAGCCTCCTCCTTTTTTTGTTATAAAACAGAGTTAAGAGTACTTGTCTCAAAGAATTGTTGTGAGGATAACATATAACAGCTAATGTGAAAAGAGATTTGTAACTTATAAAGTAAGGGTGAGGTGCCATTTTTCTAATTGTAGTTAATATTCTCATCTCTTTGATGAATATTACTATTAGATATGAAGCAAACTCTAAAAGGATGACAATTTCATTTAGACCTGTGACCTTAATGACTACACAAGCTATCACTGCCCTAGTGTTAATTGTTAAGCAGTTTGCACACAAATGATTTCACATGATTATGACACCATTGCTTGTGTGACATCTGTTCTTGTCATCTGGGAAGCTCTATGCTGTGTCTGAAATATGTATGGCAAAGTGGTGATGGCAATATTCCCTCCTCTTAATTCAATTAACACGATTGTGTTGCATTTTCTAAGCTTTCTGTGTGGCCTCAGAGACTGGGGCTCACTTTACATCCATCTTGTAGTCCAATCACAATTCATGAATGTTTAACAAAACCAAAGGACTGTGGGTCAGAAAAAGTCACTGGCTTTCTGTTTTTCTTTAACAAGACCACCCACAGCAATGAAGGTTCAAATGTGGATATTTGACCACTTAATGATTACATTTGGATGCCAGGGTATTCTCATTAGTAATATGTTAATAACTTAGTTATGATGTAATTTGGTTAATAAAATGATACCGTGGAGAAGATTGGGCAGGGTTTGTCTGGAATTTGACCTGCCTGAAAATTGTGGCCAGGTGTTGGAAATTGGTCATGAGATTCAGGACCTGGAGAAAGTCCTGTTTAGCAGGTGTGGACAGGGCATGGTTGCAGAGGTAGTTCAAGCAAGTTGTCAGCATCAGAGAATAATTCCACAAGCAAAAACAGAAGTATAACTACAAGTGCATGGTAACAGGGACTCTAGGGGTCTTAACTTGGGAAGGGCTCTGGGATCTTGCCCTTCTTGCAAGCTCACAAGTTAGACTGCCACAGTTTCATGGAGGCTGACAGAAGACATAAGAATCCTGGGTCACAGACAAAGTACTTTCTTATGACCCAGGAAGCAGCATGAATTTCAGGTTTGCATTGGTTCCCCTTGATTCCCTAAGTCCCATGGGAACAAAGAAGTAAAAGAGAAGGAAATTCATTCTTTGATGGCATCTTTGAGCTACTAATTTGAAAATCTAGGGAATGCTCAATCTATGAATATTTTGTTATGCAAGATAATAAATATTCTCATTATTTAAACCTTTTGAATTGAGTGTCCTATAAGTTGAAGCCCAAATCCACCTGACATAGTTAGACTAGTTAGATCATCATTGCAATAGTCACGGTGTGAGATGGTGATGGCAGTGAAAAGAAGAATAAAAGTCATTTTTATTTGACTACATTTTGGAGGAAAACTTAATATTTGCTGTTGAATTGGATCTGGAAGTTGTTAAAGAAGAATCCAGCATGACTTCTAGGTGTCTGGCTTAAACAACCTGGTGAATAATGACGCCCTTTACTGAGATAGGAAAAACTGGAGAGAAACAGTTTTGGGGGAATGGGAAGTTAGGGTGCTAATATGAACACCTAGCTGGAGATGTTAAGTAAGTCTTGTAGCTGGAACTCAGAGGAAAGACCTGGGTTGGAGCTGTTATATATAAATGGCATCTAAAGGTATTTATAATCTTTATTGGCTTATAATGGTATTTAAAGCCATGTCTTAGAATAGAGCCTAGGACAATGTACCAAGGAATTCCAACATTTAAGATTTGGGTAGAAAATGATGAGTCATTAAAAAGACAAAGAATGAGACAAGGTAGTGGAGAACAGGGAAGGGGAAGGGAGGGGAAGGAAAGCTCTAGGTAGAAGGAGAACCAGAAGGGTGTTGTCATGGAAGCTAGGAGAGAGTGGTAAGCCAATGCTTCTGATGAGCCAAAGACAGGAAACCCTCTATTGACTTTAGTAACATGAAAATCACTGATGGCTTTGCAAGTGTAGTTTCCCTGGACTGGTCAGGACAGTTGCTAGACTCGAATGACTTGAGAATTAAACAGCTAACAAAAGTTGCTTAAGAGTGAGATGATTATATTCATTCTCTCTGCATGTATTTGCATTTTTCTATCAGGTGGGGAGAAACAGTTTCCCTCCATGATAACACCTGGGGATCTCCCTTGATGGTAGGTCAACTTTCTGCACTTTCCAGGTAAAAAGAGAATGATTTGCTGGGATATTTAATAAGGATCGCTAACTACCTCCACCAAAGGCATAGCTCAACAGTTTTCTTAGGAGAATAAATTTAGGTTTGACCCATTGATGGATTGTTGTTTTTTGGCATCTTTCTATTCTATACTTAATTCCTTCCCTTTTTTTTGAATGCTTATATTCTTTATTTCCAATATATCCTTTTCCTCAGATTACATATGTGATCAGCCTTTCTCATGGCTTTCACTGACACTGCTCATTTTCAGATTCTAACCCTGTTTTCTCCTTTCTATCACAGTCAGTACCTTAGAAGAGAAGTCGACACAAACTGTTTACGCTTTCTACACCATAATCCTTTGTCAAACCAGGGCAGTAGATTTTTGTCCTCATCACTCCATGGAAACTTTCTTTCCAAAGGTTGACAATTGAAACAAGGACACCAAATGCAATGGTATTTTCTCAATTCTCCTCTAACTCTTCTAGGGAACTTATTAACCTTGCTCCACTGCTTAAATTTTTTTCTCCTTTGTCTTCCTAGAACCTGTGTTTTTTGAACCAATTGTTACCTTTCTGACCATATTTTCTCTCTTTTTCTGACTGCTCTAATTGCCTACATAAAAGCATTTTCCAGGTACCCTGCCTAGCCCCTTTTCTATGTTCTGCCTTTTTGTCATCTCATGTATCTTAGATTAACATATAATGTTCTTCCTCATCCAATGCCAAATTTTCAAGATATTCCCTGCCTCAACTCTTCTAAGACGAGGTTCTGAAGGTGCTTCATCTTCTGCTGGTTCAGGACTGTACATTGGTTCTAATATTGACCAAATCTCTTGGGTTCCTCATTTCAAGAGCAAGTGAAGCCTAGATTTAGTTTTGATCTGTGCTTAACCATTCCTAGTGTGTCTACAGTATACTTACCAAATGCATTCACACCATTTTCTACCATATCTGTCCAATCTTGTGACCAGAAACCCTGGGAATAGCTCCTTGGGGCCCATTCTAGGAGATGCTAGTTCTGGCTACTTCTCCTTCCCTCTTCCTTCCTCAAGGGATGGAAATTGCTTCTTACTGTCCCCACCAACACCCCCCTCCTCCACCATCCCCAGTACCTACTGGTTGCTTTTTGCTTTTTC